TATAAAGTTTTACCCTGTGAATGTATTTGCAGGGCCATAATTATTTCAAAACGATATTTCAGGTAGCAGGCGAGATCGTGAGTAGGTATAGAAGCTGGAAGATTTTTTGTATATGTCAGGGTAATTCCCAATGGCACCGGTTACTGTCCCCAGTCAAACAGTGCGAGCGCAGTCAGGTAAAGTCTCCAAGTACTCAAGTACAGTTTTTCGGATGTTACGTAAATACACGAAGGGTAGCCGTGTAATTGCACACATCAGGCGATTACCGTAACCCCAATCTGTTTGCATTCGCCCATGAAGTGAACTGTGGTGCGATAGGTTGGTAATTGTATTAATGGGTTCTTTATCAAGATAGCTTTCAAGGAAACATTCCGTAGCTAAACATTCCGTACTAATTCTACTTTGGTAACTGGTACGGCTCTTCCCGTCTCTTATCGGAAGAATTGACGAATTGAAGAAATAAAGAATTGTAGTATTGATGAAACGAATTAATCGCATTAGTTTGAAGATGTACAGGATTTCGGGAGTAGATCGAAAAATGACCAATGCTTCTCGTCACTCTGCAATTTTTGGGACAATTTATGCTAAGTTTTCGAAGTTGGAGTTCCGTCTTCGATTTGTGTAAAGTAGGTCTCCAGGCGTAGTTCGACTTCCTGAACATGAAATCACATCCATTCAATCACCAGGGACCACTAGCTCCATCAACGTGGCCAGCGAACACTAGCTATCTTTGAAGTAGCGAACTCCAGCGCGCAAGAGGGTCCAAGAGTGGGGATTATGGCAGGTTAGCACAGCTGGTTGGGCATCCGATATTGCGGTGCGTGCTACGGCACCTCAAAGCTGCCCTACACCTTACATCAAGCCAGCTTAATTCTAAGCTTTGGCAGTTGTACGGTGCGGTCGCACACGACGCATTTTCATGATGTCTCCTCAAATATCCCTATTCATGACTCCTAGACTAGACGGCGGTGGACGCGGGCGTTCGCTACATTGAGATCTTGATCCCTAGCCGCTGACGCTGCCTTTCGCTCGAAACGAAAGGTTGGTGGCTTCCTTTCCGAGCGAGAAGCAAAGCAGCACCCTGAATGGGTGTCTGCGGTAGTGATCTTTCTCTTCACTGGGACAGAGATTTAGCCGCGTGGAAAGAACGTTTGGCCGTGAATCAGACCCCGCATTACAAAAGGGAAAATCGCATCCAAACTGAGAACCACAGAGGAAATCGAGACCTCGCAAGATGAGGAAGGCGCCGTTAGACTGTAGGTCTGTTCCAGCCGCTGATACCTCATAGTAGCGGAGGAAAATTCAAATGCCTTCGTTCAATATACAAAATGGATTGGAATGAAAATCATGTATAACCCTCCAAGAACAAACAGTGCGCACGATACAGGTGCTGAAAGACAAGTAGGATACCCTACGATGTCAGTGAAACGGCTGATCAGACAACTTGTTAAAAACAATACTCTTCATTAGTGCGTAGCTGCCGAGTGAAAACCGCAAAACTTCGCCGTTTCTACAAAGGGAAGAAGCATGAAGTGATTTCTTAGAAGCGATTATAGCGTAGGATCCATTTAATATTTAAGGTACACTATGTTGGTCATTATTTGCCTACGTAGTGACCAACCTATAGCACCTCATTTGCACTCCATGGGCGAATGCAAACAGTTTTGGGGTTACGGTAATCGCTTGCGGTGTGCAATTACACGGCTACCCTTCGTGTATTTACGTAACATCTTCACAACTGGTGCGACAATGGGTTTGGCGGCGCGCTAAAACGCAGCCGCGCGAACACAACCGATGTGCAGCCAAGCACACTGTGTGTGAGGCGATTCCCGTATTAATTATAAGATGGCTTCGCGATAAGATCATTCCATATTTTATGTTTTTGTTTTATTCGCTTATATCGCTTTCTTTTTGTTACGGTTCAGCACATACACTCCTTATCCCTGAGCCAGAGTAGGCGTGGCATTTGAACATGGCACGGAACTGGTTACTCGTGGAATATTCCAGTCTGGGACAACTGTCATCTTGTTCTGTGTTGGACAGAGACACGACAACAATTGTGTCAAGATGAAAATATCTCACCAGAAGCATAGACACCTTCAGGTTAAGTTGAAACATGCGGCCACGCCTACCCGATCTCAGGGATTTCGAGTATATGAGTTGCGGCGAGAGCGATCAGGGAGGGGGAATGAAATGGTGTTACGTGCGCGGTATTTACGTCAGGACCCCACTGATTTAACGTAGCAGTCCCACAGTTGGATAAAGTAGCTGGAAAGTTCTCTGCTGTGTTTTCGTGCGTTACCGCGGCTCTCGTTTTGAAGGGCACAGTTCGGCATGATGGGAGCATAGTCCCAGCTTCTTTCGCCTCCTGTGAGGACCTCTGAACTCATGTGGACCATGCTGTAGCAAGAGCCCGTTTGCATTCGATCATGGTCTACAGGTCGCACCGAGGTCACGCGGAGCTGCGTTCATACGTTGCATCAGTGTTTTTAGCGTACGCCAGCAACTGGGAATGCATGGGTATCGACCTAACGTTTTGAGTAGATATCCTGTGTTTTCAACGGCTGGCGACCGCCCGCAAAAATGAAAACTTACATGCGAAAACGCTCAAAACGCTGGCGTACGCCTGAAACTCTAAAAATGCTGCAAAGGGACGCAAAGTATGAACGTAGCCTAACCCAGCAAGAATTATCAGGGTATCTGGAAGTTTTGAAATTTTCCAGCCATTTCCCATTGCACTTTTCGACAACAATAATAGATAAGAATCAATAGTTATAATAAACACTGTCCTTTCATATCCCCTTAGTTTTTGGAGCAGTATTACTTTGCATGGAAGCTGTAATAATGTTAGTACCAAAAAAGGGGCATATTCAACGTCGAAACTAGAATTCCACATCGAAAATAGCTTGAACTCACACTGCAGGTAATTTAAGAGGGTGCTTTGTCTGGCATCGGCGACAGTTCCTCATTTCTGCTTTGCCTGATATCCGGTGTTAGCAAGTGTGTTACTAGCTGGAGTTCTTCTCCATCTCTGGTATAAGTTAACACCAATGAAATACATATTTACGAGCGCCTAGACTCCCATTCTGTAAGCATTTCCGTTTCTCTCAGCATTTTTGAGTAAGTTTTGTATTGCACTCATTCGCTACACCTATTTAAAGTAAATGTAAATTTTCCTCGAAGCTTTCCGGACCTTATAGTACCTGTCGCAGACATTGGCGAACTAGCAAATAACCTTTCTCCCTACCATGATCCGAACAGCACGTCGCGAACTAGCATCGGGTGCAGTTTAGCAACGGGTGGGACGGAGGGCATTTTGCATTTTGCTGCTTCATTAGCTCCGGTTTAGAAGTCTCCTTCTGGTGAAAACTGTGAGGTCTTGTGAAGGAGCAAACTGAAGCCTGTCAGCTCTCGTAAGATCATGAACCAGCTCTCTGGATGGCTCAATATGTCGGTGAAAATCAGCAAATGGGCAAATGTCCCACTCGCTTCGCCGAACTGGGCGCTACCTCCTTACTTGCTGAAATGAGTTGCAAAGTCGATGCCTAACGGAGCGAACATCTCTTCAGACTGGTAGGAGGGCGAATTCACTTAACAGCAGAAGTGAACATGGACAAGTCGCCCTCGATAAAGCAAGGGTTGGAATGAGGAAATGCAACACTTACTGGAGACATTATGACAAGATCGATCAGAAGCTGTTAGTATAGCAGTTAAGACCGAATGAAAAGTAAAGAAAACTGGAACAAGTGAGTTAGAAACAACTGGACTCACTTCGAGTAGTGCTTCATGTTGTGAGAGGAAGCGATCTGTAGACGCAAGTACTATGAAGCAGTGAGACACAGACGTGACCGAAACTCTCCAGATTGCCGTCAACCAACAAAACCAGTTGAAACCAACATTTATTACGATCAGTACCAATCACAAGACTGTGGTCCGAAAGGTCATATAAATTCTACAATAGCCGCTAGGAAAGGGGGATTTGGTGACACGAATAAAACACTGCTGGAAGACCGGCGAACGTATTTCTAAACGGTGACAAATAACCGGTCAACAACAAGTAACCAAAACAAGCATTCAACTCTTTTCAGATGTGCAACAAAAACGATGAACAAGTCACAAGCGAATCAATTTGTGCAAACAAGCACCCAAGTTCGAAACCCGTAAATGTATTAACGTTCTTTCGTGAGTCCTTTTTCTCGAGCTCGTGCATCGCGGTCAATTTCACGTCGGAGATGCTCTTTGAATGAGAAAATATCACCTTCCCACTTCTTGATAGTCTGATTGTCGCAGACCCAAACCTCTTCCGCAACCTGAATGCTACACACATTACTTCGATTCCAAGTTACTATGGATGCCAAACAGAGCACAACATTGCGTCGTGGAAAAATTTGACCAAAAAGACCCCCATCAAAATTTCTCACTCGGACCAACCCCCTTTCACAACATTCCACTGCGACCCTCAATCCTTGCCAAAACAACCTTCTTCAACCACATTTCACAAAAATAGCGCAGTCTGGTGGGTCCCGGGAAGTGGGTATTTAACGCGCCTGTAGCGAGAAAAATTCAACAGCCAAAAAACTTCTAGGGAGAAATTACGACTCTTACTCCAGCAATCTCAAGAAAATAACCCTCCTCTGTTTGGTTTTACACTATGATGATGTGCTCTGACGCCAAATACTTTACATATACGGAACAATAGTATGAAACAATGAAATAAAACGAAAAAAAAACAAGTAAACCAATAAATAAGCAGTGAGAGTTCACGCTCATACTTCGCAGCTAAACGATCCAGTTTGCACGGACAACGCGACTACGACAAGGCGCGTTCCAACGTTAAGACCGGGTTCAGACTTTGCGATCAGGCGATCGCAAGGTCTGAACGCGGTCTAAGAGTGCGTTCATAATTTTTGTCAGCGTTTTGAGCGTATACCTATACCTTCCTAGTCGCTGAAAATGCTAGCGTACACTGACGTTGCTCAAAACGTTGATGCAAAATGCGAACGCGTTCTAATCGTTGGACCGCCGAAACTGCTAATTGAGACAATTCCATCAATCGAGTATTTTAAGCATTGTTTTCCAGTGGTAGACATTACGTTTGCAAAAATAAAAACAAAGCAGGAGAAAAAGTCCCATAACAAGCCGCGACCACCTTACAAAAGTACTCCAGCATTTCTGGAAAGACGACAGCTTTTTGCTGGCATTTTAAAGGTTTTAATCTAATGACCAGTGGGATATTATCGGTTGAAATAATTGATAGGTGGAATTGGCTCAGTTTGCATTTGCAGTGGTGCACCGATGAACGTTAGAGCACATCAGCACGAATTCCCAAAGAGCGCGACGCGCGATTTATCGTCCAAGTTGCGAAGCCTGAACGTGACGTGAGCGCATACAGGTATAGGAGAGGGACTCACCTGACTAACAAGACGGAAGTCATGGGAAACCAAAATCATTCCACCGGGGAAACAATTAATAGCCTCAGCTAGGGCGTCTATAGACTCCATATCAAGATGATTCGTCGGTTCATCAAGCAAGAGAAGATGAGGCTGTTGCCAAGCCAGCCATGCAAACGAAACACGACACCGTTGCCCGTCCGACAACTGTTTCATTGGACAAACCTTGAAATGTTCAAAATATCTATGTTTGTGCTGAATTCTACGATGGATCACTTACTTGCTCTCGGCCTGTAATGCCATAACGACCAACGATCTTTCGCATGTCTTCCTTTTCTTTCACCTCCGGGAACGACGACATCATGAACTCAAGGGCAGATTTCTCCAGAGGAAGCTCCTCGTGGAGATGCTGTCAAAAATTAAACTTCGAAATACTTTTTAAATCAGAGCTCTTTCGTAAATCAATCGTTGTGCGAAAATTGGAGAGTCTTTGTTCGGATGCACATTGTTGTAACATGTTGTGGACATGAGCGAAAACGCTAACAAACCGTTCATGCAGTTTATTACAGTGTTCTCAACACACGTTAGTAGAATATACAAATGGAAAACTTCAAGACAGAGATACAGAGAAGAGCATCTCAGCTGAGGACATGTGACAGAGAACTACGCACATACAAGTACACAAATACACCTGTAGACGAGCACTATTGAACATGGAGATGAGAATGCAGTTGTAACTTTAGCGGACTCAAGTAAGTACATTACTTTTTCTGCTTCTTGTCGCATAATCTACTAACAATGTACGTAGCAGCAAGTAAAATTAGAATAAGGATGAGCAATCCTCTATCATCGATAGCATTGAGGAAATCAGCCACATCTTTTCCAGTCTGTACACCATGGCTGACTTGGTCTTCACTTCTGATTGGAGTACGAGGTGTACCCTCGGGCATTACACTGAAAAACTCCTCCCGAATTTCAAATTTGTCGTTTACAAGGATACTTTAGGCATTCGGGGTTCCTACCAAGTGCGAGATGAACCGGTCCGTGGCTGCTGCAACGCAGCATTTCCTCACTCAAAGGTGCACGGGAGCGGAGATGACGCTGGTGGTCCCTGTGTGCCGTATCCCAAGTGGTTCCGTGGAAAAAGTCACCCATGCGCGTTGCGGCGCGAATTTTTGACGTCACCGCGGCGGCAAGGCGAAGCGAAAGGCGATGGCCTGCGCCTCCACCACTGTGCTCCAATCAGCAGCCGCTTTTATGTGGAAGGAAAAAGAGAGAGAGAGAAAAGAGGATTGAACAGATAGTGGATGTGAAACGACATAACTGAGATAGTGGATGCTTACAGGTGAGTTAGTGGTAGTGGTGAGAGAATACAGAAAAGTCGACTATCAGGGCGAATTACTTCAGCAAATGGCAAAACTGGCGAAATAGTTCCCTTCGATTGTGAAAACGACGCAAACAGCTCTTACGCAAACGTTTAAGGTGAGGTTTGGCAAATTGCCAACAGTTGGATGTGACCTTATAACGGTATAACGGTAATCGAAGGGAACTATTTCGCCTGTTTCGCCATTTACTGAAGTAATTCGCCCTGATAGTCGACTTTTCTGTATTCTCTCACCACTACTACTAACTCACCTATACGCATTCACTATTTGTTCAAACCCCTCTCTCACTTTTTCCTTTCTTATAAAATGCTGATCGGAGCACAGTGACGAAGCAGCAGGCCATCGTCCTTCGCTCCGCCCTGCCGCCGCGCTGACGTCAAAACCGAGCGGCACAGAAGCCCAGGTGAGTTTTTCCCTCCTCCGATCCCAACTCCAGTAACGTTCTCATCCATCTGCAGCACTTTCACCGACATCAAACCCCACAGCAAACACGCAGTTAGGGGACAACCAGATTTGAGATGGCGCAGACAAGCAGCGCGATGGCTAAGGTTGGGCTATGGTTGACCGTGAGGCGGCGCGGGCGGAGTCGGAAGACGGCACCCAGCTCTCACTACACTCCAGTCCCGTTTTCGCGCACTTTGAGCGGAGTACGGTACTGCAGCTTGATTCAGCCGATTCACTTCGTATGGCGAAGTTTGGCTTCGAAGCTGAGAGTACGTTCTGTCTTCAAGCAAACTATTCCAGAGAGTGACTTTAGTTCAGGGGATCCGACTACCGGCACCGCACTCAGACTAACATCCCTGGCTTTGGCTTTTTGACACCGAGTCACTTAAGGGGATTCACGTTCACAACTAAAGTTTACTGTCGAATTGCTTAAGGCCGTCAATTCAATGCCACAGACGTAGGCTGCCGCGACACAATTTATTTGACAGCAAAGTGCAAAGCGCTCTGTCGGGTCAACTAGCCAAACGCTGGTTTGCACGATGCTGAAAGTCGAACCTCCTGAACTACACCTCTAGAACTGCAAAGTGAAAGCAACATACGTGGACACTTCCATATTTTCTGTCTTGCCCGCGGCATCTAACAGCAACTGTTCAATGGGCGGATTCGAAGCAAAGCATGTCTTGGATGAACTCACGCGAGCCTATATGGAATACACTCCCACCTACCACCTAACTGAAACCAACACAGACAAATGTCTCTTACAATTAATCGAATCGCTGTTTGAGATGCATCGGATTCACTAGTTGAAGTTGAATCCAGAAATCGAGTAACAATTAGTAACTTTGGAGGTGGGACATCTCTCCAATGTTCAAATGCTGGAGGTCTTGTCCATGTTAAAATTAGTCGTACTTGAGAATGCGGCGGGATTTCCGCATTACCAGCAGGCAATGCCTGTAAGAGCAAAAAATTTAGCAAGCTCTACTCTATCAAATTATGATAAAAGTTTGTCTGGTTCTCGTCAAAATCCACGGTACGCCCTCTATTTCGTTCCCATTCATCCCATTCACAACTTTGCAGACACTTGGTACTCCCTGCGCAAGGAATCGTTCGATCAGGAAATTCACGTCCGTAAGGACGTAGGGTACCAGTTAAATCCGGAAAGATGAACCATTTTGTTGGGAATCGATCTCAGGGGCGTGCAAGTAAAGCGTGCCCACTGGGACTGACTCCGTTTGGACCCGCTGTGTTTTGGCTGCTGGTTCATTTGTGAAGTGCCTAGATCACCAAATACGCAGAAAACTTATGAACCATGTCAAATAACAAGGGCTATTTAACATCCTGATTACGAATATGACATTCATTCTTGGCGCTGGCGCTAATGGAGGACACTACGATTATCTTCTGGGCTCAGCCTTAGCAGAGCGCAGATAATCGTAGTGTCCTCCATTAGGCCAGCGAAAAGAATGAATGTTATACTCGTAACCATGTCAAATAACTCCTGTACACAAGTGTTCAGTGGATTTTATAATCTAAGCGCTTCTCAAATGAGTAAGAAGCCAAAACTGAGCGCGATCGAACGACACCAGCGCCCACTAGCACCTGCAGGGGTGGCGTCTTATTGCAAGCATGCCTGCTCTGATTTACAATACGATAAGTGGGGTGTACTCAAGAAGAACATGAGAATCCGTCTGTAATGGACACCTGCATAGTACTAGATCGCCACAAGGGCAGTTTCGCACAGAGGCTATCCGATCAACTACGAGTAGAGGCCCATCAGGACCCACGGCTCATCAGATAATCGTATCCTGTTTACCACTTATTGAGGCTGGACCAAGAAAGGATAACAGCATTAAAAGCACTCACAGACACGTTGCTGCCAACGTTACTTTTCAATTTAAAGTAAAGTGCTCGGTCAGATATATTACATAACAAAAGTTGTACTCGAGCTACATGTGGGCGATCAACAATAGCACGAAATGTGAGTACAGTAGCCTGAGAAGGAATTTTACGAAAATACGAAGGAATTTTACAGGTACAAAGTTTTGCTGTTTCGTCACTGTTACCTTAACGTTTCGTTTCAATGGCTTTCCTACATTTCCTGGGGCCTTTTCTGCCTTAACGGGGACAGCGATACCTGTCGTCGGAGGAACAACTTCAGTAGCTTTGTCATCACTAACAGCAGCAGCTAAGTGTTTATTGAGATATGCTGAAAAGACAAATCGAATCCTGCCACTGTAAAGAACATTTCCGTCTTATCCAGTAAGAACGGCAAAGCTATGGAGCTCTGGAGCATGTATCTTTCTCTGACTGAGACATGCCGTGATGATGTACTGCAAGGACATATCTTGGCACGTCCTGACGTCCCGTGAAGCGTCAGTGATGAGGAAACCGTGCCTCAGAAACATACACCTTTTTGGAAGTTTCCTCTTTCTTTCTTCTCACTGGTGACGACAATTTGAATAGCTAGGGCTGATATTTGATCCTTTCCACTATATTTCAATTTGCCTTGCTTGTTTTTCGATTCGAAGAAGTCACAAAACGATTGCCCCCACAAGGTCTGCTGTGCTCAGCTCACCATCACAGTCCCCGAACCATTTTAACACATTCGAGGCCGCCTGTACTTCTATACTATTTCGCTGCGGACGGTTGGGCGTGTCAGTGCGGCTGCGTTTGGCGCGGTGCCAAACTCGTTCTACACCAGTTGTTGAAGCGGGCAAGTGACAATACTGTATCATATCCTTCGTATTACTCGTTTTCTACCACTTTTTGTCGCATGCGCTCTTCAACAAGAAGGCAGAGAACGGCTCTGATAGGGTGACACACTCATACTGGCTGACACGCCCAACCGTCCGCAGAGAACTAGAGTGTATATGCGGGGAAAACCGTTCTTTGCGCCCGTTCGTACAGTGCTGTTAGTGTACACGCATATTTTTCGGCTCTCTTAGCGATTTTCATAACATTTCACTAACAATATTTACGCAGTTGACGCATCAGTACAAAGAGTATAGAGTAAAAATACGCCAAAAACAACAACGGACGGGAGTTCTAGGCGAAATGGCTTCCGCCGCGGATGTGCAGAAGACCTGCATTTAGCTTTACGAGCGGTTTCCTTTTAAAAGTAGCGGTGCTGTCCAGGCTTGTTCAGTGTGATAACCGTTGAGGGGGAGACGACGTGACA